ATGATTTTTTGTGTCATCATGTAGGATTTATGACATTACAACTGATTGTCATAAACGTGTGAACAGTTTTGAAATCTACACTTACATCTACGTAGATATTGAAATGACACAGAATAAGTTAAATGTGCCTGTAACTTTTTCCAAGTTACATGACTGGAAGATGGGGCTTCTGTTATCAAACAGAAGCCATTGAATGGATTTAGGAAAGCTTATAAATTTATATTTTTTTTGTGAGAGTTTTTAAATAACTCTCAAAGGGGGAACTGTGGAAATATAAATTTCTATCAACTAATTCCAAATGAACAATAATCTAAGTATAACTGAAAAGTTATATTCTTTGGTTTTTAATTATATAATTTCATTAACATCCCAGCTAGGAGGGACATTTAACCTTTTATCTTTCTGACTACAGGCTAAGTCAGTGATGCAAATGCTTTAAACGACTCTGTCTTTGTCTTCAGGTGTTGCTTTTATGCTACAGAAACCCTATGTTGATTAACTTGTGTGGTCAGTAGCTGGGCCGTTTTTTAACACCTATGCCATGCTGACTCCAATACTGAATTTGCATACTTTGTTTAGCTATATCCCCTCCTCCTAAGAACACAATATAGCCATGAAATCTTTGTCTTAATTGAGACTAATTCAGACTTGTGTGAGACTTGTGAGAGACTCGTGAAAGAACTTGCAGACTGCGGACATCTTAAAGACGCTGTATGACTGCAGATTAACCAACACGTCTCAAAGGAATTCTGCTTGTTTCGAGTCTCCTGGACTGGGTTCTTCTCTTCTTTTCACTCATTTATTTTTTTACAACACAACATATCCACAAAGAAGTAGGTCATGGTGGCCGCAATTATATGCTGTCAAAATTGCGGCAGAAATATTGGATTACTGGTGTGAGTACAGCAATAAGAAGAGTATTGTCAAAGTGTGTTACTTGTAGAAGGTTGAATGCACTTCCAGGATGCCAACAGATGGGAGATTTACCATCGGAGAGAGTCACCCCTAATGAACCACCATTTACACGTGTAGGGGTAGATTACTTTGGACCCTTTAATGTAAAAAGCAGAAGAAGTGTAGTGAAAAGATATGGAGTTATTTTCACTTGTTTGGCCATTCGAGCAGTACATATCGAAGTAGCACCTTCCTTGGATACCGATTCCTTTATAAATGCACTTCGCCGTTTCATTGCACGACGTGGTCAAGTGCAGGAAATTCGATCAGATAATGAAAGGAACTTTGTTGGAGCCGGACAAGAACTACGAGTTGCCATAAAGGAATGGAATCAATGTAAGATCAACAATGTTCTTCTGCAGAAAGGTATCAAGTGGACATTTAATCCCCCTACTGGATCACATTATGGCGGAGTTTGGGAGAGATTAATTAGATCTGTGCGAAAAATCCTAAATTCTACCTTGAAGTCGCAGAATCTGGATGAAGAAGGACTTCAAACGGTATTGTGAAGTGGAGGCTATTATTAATAGTCGTCCAAAAACCAAAGCATCCACTGACCATTTAGAAGCGTTAACACCGAATCATCTGCTACTTCTGAGGACTTCTCCATCCTTACCACCAGGACAATTTAAGAAGGACGAAGTATATGCTCGTAAACGATGGAGACAGGTACAGTACATGTCAGACTTGTTCTGGAAAAGGTGGGTACTGGAGTACCTAACACAGCTTCAAGAGCGTCAAAAATGGTTAAAAGTCAAGCGCAACTTGAAAGTAGGAGACATAGTGCTTCTAGTTGACAACACAGCACCTCGGAACTCATGGCCGCTAGGACGTATAATTCAAACCTTTCCTGACAAAAGAGGATTTGTCCGTCATGTACAAGTGAAGACCAAATACAGCTGTCTCGACAGACCAATAACAAAACTCTGTCTTCTACAAGAAACGGAAGACGATATAACATGAACACTTTACTTTTTGTTTTCCCTTGAAGCAAGAAGGATCAAGAATTTTCCCTTTTGAATATTTTCATGTTTCTATTTATATTAATGTAATTATTATGTAATAATTAGGGGCTGGATTGTAGTAGACATGAAATGGTTAACGTGTCACGTGATTGTGGTGGAGGGTCACCGGGGTTACGTAGTGCGCTTATAGGTGGCACCTGTTCATTCACAACTTAGGAAGGAGAGAGAGAGGGGGTGAATGGGGACGCGGTACTCTTTGTTGACCAAACAAAGACAAACAAACTCAAACGAAATCAAACTTAAGCCTGAATCAAAGTCTACACTGTCAAAAGATCAAGGTATGTTTTATATTGGAAAATAAACGAGTGATGACATTGGAACGACTTCTTGCCTTGTGTACATTTGATGTTTGCGTTACAAAACATGTCTCTGGTTTAGCCTCTCAGCTGTTACTCCACGTAGCCGCTACATGCACAAAAATGTAAAGTCTTTAGATGCAATAATATGTTCATGTGTGATTGCAACTAGCAAACAGATTTTGACTGCATTAGTAACTACAGTTACCTTTAAACAAAAGAAAATGCAGTATAACATCAAATACTCTCAGTTCATCTTGGACTTAGAACACAAAAAACGTTTTGCTGTTTTTTTTTTTTTTCTTTCATTTTTTGATTTTACGCAAAAATACCAGCAGTTGTGGTTGCCAGTAATCTGCTGTTTTTAACATTCATAAATTCATTTTACAGAATTCTTCTGTTAAAAAAACATTCCACAGTCTGTGTTTTTTTATCGAACTCACACTGCAAATTTTAGATTTGGTAGATTTAACTACCTTAGAGTTAAAATTAACACTCTCTCAATGTTTATATGGGAATCACTATAAAAGTGTTAAAATAACACTTTTGAAAGTGTTAAAATTTTTAACACTCAGAGTGTTAATTAGCAAAATTATTGTGTAAAATATCTGTTAAATGTATGTCAAAATACTAGCAGCTGTGGTTGCCAGTAATCTGCTGTTTTCAACATTTTACATTCGTAAATTCAGTTTCCAGAATATTTCTGTTAAAAACAAATCCCATAGTCTGTATTCAAACACACTTAAGCCTTAAATCCCAGAGCAGAATCCTCACTAGTGTCCTCACTACAGAGGGCTGAACACTCAGTAATGAAGTTAATGAGACAATTAAGTGTCTAATTAAAGGAGGATTGAGAATTATTGATGAACAACTGTTTACAGCGGAATCACTGGAAAGAAAAACACAAATTACAGCCAAAACCAAAGATGAAATCAACAGAGAAAAAAAGAACTCCAAATAAACTAATGATCAATAAAAATAAAACTAATTACACAATAAAAAATGTTATTTTTCAACATCTTTAAAATAACTCATCACATTAAACAACTTATCATGGAGCTTCACCTATTACTGACCTTTGACTTGATTTCTGTCATGTGAACAAAAGCTCTTAATGAAATTTCTGTTGTTCATTTGAAGTCACCATGATGGAGGACAGAGTCTGCTTTAGTCAGGCTCTTCAACTTCTTGCTATAAAATATATTTTATTTTAGCTGCTATAGACTTTAGTGTTAATCATACTAGTTATACATATAGCATAGAAAGCCAAAAGAAAAATAATATGTCAGTCTGAAGAGATTATTTATGATATCAAAGCCATCTTCTCCTGCTTGTTTTCCAATTCAGTATCATATTAATTATGTGTAAGTCATACATAATATACATAATTTAAACCGTTGAAGCTCCAACAACTGATGACTTATTAACAGGTTTAAAAACACCGTTCACAATGAGAATGTGATAAAAGATAAATAAAAATCAATTAAAAAAACAACCCAGAATAAAACCAAACACTACTGAAACATTACCTCCCAAAAACAACACAAAATAAAGGAAAAGAAAGAGATTGTAATAATAATTAATTTTATTTGTAGATGGCGCCTTTCTAGACACCCAAGGTCGCCTTACAATAAGCATCAGTAGTCAAACAAAAAAAATAAACATTACTAAAAACAATCATTGACCAAACAAGTTAAAACGCAATAGCAAATATAAAAGAACATAATAAAAACATGATAAAAAATGTTAAGTAAAAGCCTGCTTAAAAAGATAATTCTTTAGACTTTATTTAAAATTGTGAAGACTATCACTGCTCCTAAGATCTACTGGAAGTGAGTTCCATAGCCTTGGAGCCATAGAGCTAAAAGATCTGTCTCCCATTGTAAAAACATAAAGCTGCATAATTTATTTATGCTGCAATGCATGCTGGGAGCTTTGTACTATGCTGGCACCCAGCATGCATTGCGGCATGAACTATGCAGCTTTTTTTCTTTTTAGCAACCACGGTTGAGGTTCATATCCTGATTCTTGATGTCTGTAGCTGCGTGCCCAAGGCACGCTGTACACTCATGCACTATGCACTTACACACTCAACAGGATAGTATATGTGTGTAGTGTTATCCCAAATGGCACACTAATGTTTTTTTTACTAAATGGAAATTCAAACCGTTTCCCTGATGATGTTTGACGCTTGCCAAATCAGTGAAATAAACAACCGAACTATCAAATTATACCTGCCGTAACATTCGGGAGGCACTATAATCACTCTCGTAGGAGAATTTTGCTTTCATCATCCAAAATAAATAAAGTTATTCAACATGTGCGTCCGATAACTCCGCCCCTTCCACTACGTAAGCAAACCTGCGGTTTTGCTTAAACCTAGTGGACTAAACTAATAGACTAATTTAAGGGCCAGGTGAATGAGGGTGTAGGGCGAGATCAGACACTCTGATTAGTTTATCAAATACAAGGGTTTATCTACCTAAATACAAGATAGATACATGTTACTCTGTATGACAAGGAGGCAAATCAGCTTCTAAAGCTGAGAGGGTTATTTTACCTTTATCTAACTCTAAAATTTTAACACTTTACTCTGAATTACCACAACACTTGAAATTTAACACCAATGAATTTGCTGTGAATGGATGTCTATGGGGAGAAAAGTCCAGTGTTACCGCGGCTTAAGTGCAAGTGAATGGTTACTCTGAATGGTGTGGCTCATCATGTGTTTATTAAGGTGTGATGATTGGCTGAAACTCTTCCCACACTGAGTGCATCTAAATGGTTTCTCTCCAGTGTGGATCCTCATGTGTTTTTTAAGGTTTGATGATTGGCTGAAACTCTTCCTACACTGACTGCATGTGAATGGTTTCTCTCCAGTGTGAATCCTCGTGTGTAGATTAAGGGATGATGATAGGCTGAAACGCTTCCCACACTGAGTGCATGTGAATGGTTTCTCTCTGATGTGGATCATTGTGTGTTCATTTAGGTGTGATGAGCGGCTGAAACTCTTCCCACACTGAGTGCATGTAAATGGTTTCTCTCCAGTGTGGATCATCATGTGTTGTTTAAGGTCTGATGATTGGCTGAAACTCTTCCCACACTGAGTGCATGTAAATGGTTTCACACCAGTGTGGGTCTTCATGTGTTTATTAAGGTTTGATGATTGGCTGAAACTCTTCCTACACTGAGTGCATGTGAATGGTTTCTCTCCAGTGTGGATCCTCAAGTGTAGATTAAGGCACGATGATAGGCTGAAACTCTTCCCACACTGAATGCATGTGAATGGTTTCTCACCAGTGTGGATCATCATGTGTTGATTAAGGTGCCATGATCTGCTGAAACTCTTCCCACACTGAGTGCATGTGAATGGTTTCTCTCCAGTGTGGATCCTCGTGTGTTGATTAAGGTGCCATGATCTGCTGAATCTCTTCCCACACTGAGTGCATGTGAATGGTTTCTCTCCAGTGTGGATCCTCGTGTGTTGATTAAGGGATGATGATTGGGTGAAACTCTTCCCACACTGAGTGCAGGTAAAATGATTCTTGTCTCTCCTTTTTAAAATACCATCAGTCTGTAAATGAGTTTTTTCCTCAATTTTGACAAGATGTTCCTTCTCTTTACTCTCCTCATTCTCTTTAATTAGGTCTGAAAGAAATAAATAAAACATTAGTTTTCATTATGTAACGAATATGGCAGCTTACCATTCATCCGCCCACCAGAGGGAGCTCTCTCCCGAATATTGACTGGGTACTTCCTCTGTGGTACTTCCTGGTAGCCACCATATTTAAGCACACTGCTTTTGTGTGTTCATTGCGAAGTATTGCCAGTTTCACTGCCTACTAAGCGGTTTCCTACTGCTATTTCTGCCATTGTGTTATGACCTTTTTGCCTGCTCTTTCTGACCACTGTTTTTGGATTTTGGACTCTGCCTTGTTTGCCTTTTCGGACTGCCTTTTTGTTTGCTTGTTGTTGCCCGGTTCATGATCACGATTCTGCCTTTGTTTGATGCTAGTTGTTTGTTTAATAAACCTCCAGCTTTTGGATTCAATCCGCCTCTATGTCTTCACCTACGGCTCCCTCACAGAATACTTCGCCTAACATCAATCCAGCGGAGGTTTCTAATTTACAAGCAGCTTTCAATTATAAAAGCGAAATGCTATCTGGGTATCAGGAACAGTTGATGCATCTAAAGGAGGCCAACGACCGTCTCACACAGTTCATCCATTCTCTCATAGAGGTAAAGTTGGTTTTATATTCACACATTCAGACTTTCCCCTTAATAATATAATTTCATAAAAGTTTTATTTGCAAACTCTAAATAGTAAAATCATATTAGCAACCAATGACTATCAAAGTACAACATTGTTCACAGTCAAATAAACAGTGTTATTGTTGTTTTCAAGTCACACTTGCATGCTAATTCCGCTCAAATATTCAAAGTAACATGGTAAACAATATATAGACTGCTAAATGAACGAATGTGTGAATATAAAACCAACTTTACCTCTATCATTCTCTCCCTGCTCCTCAAAGCTCACCGGTAAGACTAGCATTACCTGATAAATTTGATGGTTCGCCAGAACTTTGTCGTGGCTTCATTCGTCAATGTAAAGTCTTTTTTACTAGTCAGCCTGAAACCTATACTCATGATACTAAGAAATGTGCTGTAATGATGTCCTTATTAACCGGACGAGCTTTAGACTGGGCCTCAGCTGTTTGGGAGAGTGATTTACATGTACAGTCTTCGTTTAACCATTTTATTTCTCAACTCAATGAAGTTTTTGGTTATCCTGAAGGAGGACAAGACATTTCTGAACAATTACTAGATCTCAAACAGGGAAACCGCACTGCTGCAGATTATGCTATTGACTTTCGAACACTAGCTGCACAAAGCGGTTGGAATGATGTGGCTCTCAAGGCTGTATTTAAACGAGGACTGAATGCACAATTACAAGCTGAATTAGCATGCAAAGCAGTTGATCTGTCTTTTAATGAGCTTATCACTTTAGCCATTAAAATAGACAATCTTATGCGCAACACTCCACGCCGGGTTTTACAAATCAAATCTGAACCTGCCATGACAAGTCATGATGCCCCAGAACCCATGCAGATTGCCTCTACCCGCATCTCCTCCAACGAGAGAGAACGACGGCAGCGGGAGAATCTATGCTACTATTGTGGAGGTGAAAATCACCAAAATGCTGCATGCCCTCTCAAGACCAAGAAGAGCCATGCTCCACAATATCATGTGAGTACCATTGAAATTTCCCATCGCCAAAATTTTCTTTTGGAATGCAGAATTGAATTTGATACTGCTGTTCAATGTATTTCAGCATTAGTAGACTCTGGATCAGTGGTTAACATCATCAATCAAGAACTCACGGACAAACTCAAGATTCCTACAACTCCCTGTGTCCCAGTAATCAACATAACCACAATAGACAATGGCCCTATTGGTTCTGGAATTACTGCTACCACTGCACCAGTGTCTCTCCAAATTGGACTATTTCACAAAGAAGCCATCACCTTCTATGTAGTCCCTTCATGCAAGTACCAAATGATATTGGGCCATTCTTGGATGGCCATTCATGATCCTATCATTTCATGGAACCATGGTGAACTCACTCAGTGGTCAACTTACTGTATTAACAATTGCCTAACAAAAACGTTGTCATTTCCCTGCCTTTTCACCAGCGACATTCAGATCGCCCTGCACCACGTCCAAGGGGTAGACCTATGAGAAGAACACCAGGAGGTGTTCATAGAGGGGGGGGATTCTGTAACGAATATGGCAGCTTACCATTCATCCGCGCACCAGAGGGAGCTCTCTCCCGAATATTGACTGGGTACTTCCTCTGTGGTACTTCCTGGTAGCCACCATATTTAAGCACACTAGCTGCGTCCCAAATGGCACACTATGCACTCATGCACTATGTACTTATGCAATTACACACTCAACAGGATAGTATATGTATGTAGTGGCGTCCCAAATGGCACACTAATGTTGTTTTACTAAGCGCAAATTCAAACCGTTTCTCTAATGACGTTTGACGGTCACCAAATCAGTGAAATAAACGACCGAGTTATCAGATAATACCTGCCGTGAGTATGACCGCATTCACCATCGGGAGGCGCTATAATCACTATATAATCACATTATAATCACACTTTGCTTTCACCATCCAAAATAAATAAAGTTATTCAACATGTGTGCCCGATAGCTCCGCCCCTTCCGCTACGTAAGCAAACCTGCGGTAGTTGAGTGTGTGAAGTGTCCATCATTACACACTTCGTTTTAGCGGCTGAATGAGTGCATCATCTGGGTAATTAAAGTGCACTTATTATTTTTAGACTTTTCAGTGTGAACACACTACTTACACTATTTATACTACAAAATGGCGTAGAATAGTGCATAAGTATGCGATTTGGGACGCAGCTACTGCTTTTGTGTGTTCATTGCGAAGTAATGCCAGTTTCACTGCCTACTAAGCGTTTTCCTACTGCTATTTCTGCCATTGTGTTATGACCTTTTTGCCTGCTCTTTTTGACCACTGTTTTTGGATTTTGGACTCTGCCTTGTTTGCCTTTTCGGACTGCCTTTTTGTTTGCTTGTTGTTGCCCGGTTCATGATCACGATTCTGCCTTTGTTTGATGCTAGTTGTTTGTTTAATAAACCTCCAGCTTTTGGATTCAATCTGCCTCCATGTCTTCACCTACGGCTCCCTCACACATTAAGTCTTAAAATTCTCATCAAAAGCTGAAAAGTGAAAAGACACTGGAAACATTGGCTACACACACTGTAATTTTGATGCACATTAAATTTGGAATAAATCAAATCATATTTTGCTTGGTCCATTAACATGTACACATTTCAGCAGAATCAATTCAATTCATCTTTATTTATCTAGTGCTTTTACTATGTAAATTATGTCAAAGCCACTTAACATAGAAGTTATAGTAAATTGAAACAGTTTTCAGACTTCCTGACATAATTAATCATAAAAGTCATTTCGGTCATGTTAATTAGACAGATTTGAAAGCTGTAAATGGCCTATTTTTATTCGTAAATATTTACAATTACAACAAAATGTTTTTTTTTTAATGTGTTAAGCAGACAGAGAATACTTGTTAATTCTGTGCCTGACTGGTTATTGCATCAGAAAAAACGTTCTGGGGTAACAGCTGACCAAACAGCTGAATATTTGCCTCGCAGACATGAGACATATCTGTACAGCATCTGCATAAAGGCTGGAATGTGCACTTTTCCCCTTGTGTGCTGTTGGGTTATTTTCATCCATTCTAGGGTGATTTTGAGGCTTAATTTGGCCAAAACTTTCTCTGAGTTTCAGCAAACGGACTGATATTTGGAGACATCTTATTTTGACATTTTCTGGGAAAATACTTTGAAATATAAAAAAAATCACCACACTCTGGGCAAATTTACTCCCTTTTCTTTATATTCATGGCTGTTTTTTTTTCCATTGGCCTCGATTATAACAAAATTTTAAGGATTGCAAAGCCATGACAGCATATAATCATGCATTTATGATTGTTGGTGTTTTCTTTGACGACAGTCAACATTGTTTAATTGGTCTCCACCCATGGGATGGCAAAGAGGAAATGGGTCAGAGAATAAAGGAAGAGGAGGAGAGTTAAAGAGAACAGCATTATGTGGTGTGCGTAATAAAGAGAAGTTAACTGAAATGTTGCAGTGCGGGGAAACGAGTAGAGAAACCGGGTTGAGACGAGCAGTGAAAAACTTAACGACTGGGTGTGAGAAACACTGTGTCTTGTTACTGAAGTGCTTGTGATGTCTGTGAATGAGTGCATCACCAAAGAGTTCAGAGCAGTGTGTCTGGAACAAAATCATCTTACCGATTCATCTCACTGGCATGAAGTCAGTAGCCTACTCAGCGGCTGGGGTCGTAGACGCCCTTAACCTTCACATCCAAACCTCCACATTCACCATTCCCCTCGCATTTCCATTGTCCCCTTAACTTCATGGGTTAGAAGCAAAAGGTTTTTTTTTCTTTCCCCAAATTCTCATTTTATTTCTCTTGTTTGTTTTTCCTTGTACTAATATTATTCATTATTTTTTCCCCATTTTCAAATGTGACAAATCTGCTGGCCTGAATCATTTGCGTTTTTTCCTTTCACTTTCATTTGAGTTATAAGTGCTAAGTGTTTTGTTTTTCATTGTGATTGTTGTTATATTGTTTGTTTTGGACTTCCAGTTAGAGCTGCGCCATGTAAAGACGCAAACTGCTGAGGTCCTCATGTGAAACTTAATTTCGTTTTATATTGCTTTCATCCTAAATACTATTACCTTAAACCTACCTATACTGGAAAATAAGTGTTTATAAGTGTCGGAGTCTAGCTGTAAATCCGCTACTAGCCTTTATGCTAATGCTAACCCTGAAGAGCAAGCTGTATCTAAAGGCTGATTTATACTTCTGCGTCAAACGCCGGCGTATGCTACGGCGCTGACGCATAGCCCTTCGCCGTGGCCGTCACTGACGTGCACCTCTCA